TGTCATGATTGATGGATTAAGATCTAAAGAGAAGCACCATCTGCTGGTCAGACACTGTAATTCAGGGAAAGGGTGGAGTCAGAGTAAAAAAATATGCAAGAGGGGGCTCACTGCAGTGGCTGGAAGTTGGAGGGAAGTAGGCCGCCATTCAGCTGGCGTTTGACTGGGAGCGGCCATTTTGAATGGCTGCTACTGTAGGCGTTACCCAGAGTTGGCGACATGTAAGGAAAACAAGCAGAGCTAATATTAGAGGACTGGAAGAAGAACAGGAAACGTCCAGAAGTCTTTGAATGCAGCGTGACAGCGCCATCAGGGCACGGAGGGGTCCCCCCCCCCCCGCTGTGGATCCAGTCACCTCGTCTCTAGCTAACGGCTGATTAACCAACTACAGGATGGAAAAGCTTCCAGGCTAAATCTGATCCAGATCAACCAAACATCAAATAAACATCTCAGCAGGTTGATTCCATCCTGAATGAGACTCTCCTTTACAGACATGTGTGCTAGGCTAATCAGTCCATTAGCCAGATGGGCCAAAGATGGCCGCCGCTCTGGTTTAGCTCTTGTCACTAGCCGGTCTGTCCTGGAAGCACGATCCGTACCATCAGCTCATTTGCAAATCCAGATATACATCCAGGTCACTGCGATCTTTACAGGAAATTATTTTCCTTTTGTGCTAACATTTTGGTATGTAGTGCGTCATCTAGAGAAAGAAATAACTAAAATGCAGATAAAGATGGTTTAATCAGATTTTCTGCTCTGAACGTGTCCCATGATGACGTCAGACAAAAAGTTTAACAGAGAAAATGTAAAAAACTGTCTCACAAAAGTGCTAAAACATTTTTAAAGATGTGTATTAGCATTTTTTAAGTAAGTTACGGATAGAAATAAATAATTATAGTACCATAATTACATTATTTATGGCGAGCTGGATGTATATCTGTTCGTGCATGCACAGGTCAGATCGTGCTTCCAGGACGGATCGTGCTTCCAGGACGGATCGTGCTTCCAGGACGGATCGTGCTTCCAGGACGGATCGTGCTTCCAGGATGGATCGTGCTTCCAGGACGGATCGTGCTTCCAGGACGGATCGTGCGACGGATCGTGCTTTGTTTTCCCGTCAGGAAGGCTGGCGTCTGGAAGAGCATGTGAATATGGCTGAATAGAGGATTTCCAGTCTCTCTGCACGTCACCATGAGGTGTGAGCGGCGACACAAGGACCACTGGGATGAGACGTCCGGGATCAGGAAAGGAGGAAGATTATCGTCCTCATCCCAGAATCACATTGTTTGGGTTTATATCCAACATCTCTGGCAGAAATGTCCTCCATGTCTTCCCTGCTTCAGGTTGAAATGAAACGGATCATTTGACCTAATAGTTTTTAATTCTGATGAAAGAAGCAGTGATTGAGCCTGGATCAGGGGGAGATTATAATCTACACGACACACTATGAAGACGCAGACCAGCGGGATGCTAATCCAGCCTCTGAGACTCATCAGACAATCACAGTTACAAGGTTATTCCTCTGTCTATATATATGTCTGGATCTCCAGCGTCTCCCTATGAGACACTGCTGCTAATTACAGATTCTGCTATCTGCATATCTAATCCAGCGATTCTGGTTGCTTTTTACATTTCCCTTTATCCGTTTATCTGACTAAAGCTGAGTAAATCCAGATCAGCAGTAATTAACTGGGATGCATCGACTTGTGTAACTCCTCCATAATGTCCTCCTCTTCTCCACCATCCAACGTCTTATTAATGAACTTTAAACCATCTTTTCCTCATTTCTCCAATCTTCTTTCCTGGTTTTTCTTGGCTTTGGTAGAAGATGAAGCAGACGCAGCAGAGCTCACTTCAGGTCGATTCCCCCAGAGGTGGCCTTCTCTTTGTTCTGAAACAGAGACAGTAAATCCTTTAAAACTCAGTGTCTACCCTACACGGCCACAGCAGGCTGCAAAAACCAGCGAACGAACAGAAGCTGAGCTACATCTACCACCAACATGAGACGCTTTCATAGCTCTGCACTGCAGACAGACTGCTGATCATATAACAGCTACTACCGAGCCCTATAGAGAATAAGGTGCTGTTAGCTCTATGCAGTTAGCCTAGCCCAGAGAATGCAGAGGATCCAAATTCCTGGAGGAAAAGGGAAACTCATGATGATGGCTGTGTGGATTTTAAGGTCATTTAATAATCCTTAAGAACTCTCCAACATGCAGGGCTCCATGGAGACGTAAGTCATGCGCCCTCTGGTGGATGCAGACTGACTGACAGCTGTCTCGTTGCTCATTTCTTAGCTCTAACTTTTGATCCTTTCCTCATCTGTAGCC